AGGAAGAGATTAATTTTTATCCAGTGGCTAGGTTCTATTTAGTGGTATTTTTATGGTATAATATTTAACAATTATTTTGAGTCATTGGACCTCACCCATGGACAACTGCAATCTGTTGTTTTAAGTTCAGTGTCATCTATAAAACTCCAAAATTTAAGACCTAAGAAGAATCATAGAAATCATCTAGCCAACTCCCATTCTTTTATAGAATGAGGATATGCTAATCTATGGTAATGTGTTTCCTATTATACCAGGCATCACCTAACTTTGTAAGGAACAAATCACATGTCTGGTGGCATTTTAATACATCTACTTGTGCATACTTCACTGCCACACTGCCAACTGCCACAACCTCAGAGATGTTTATAACATTGTTTTTTAAAAACAGGAAAACCTTGACTGTGGAATGTTTAGGGCATACGGAATTCTGCTTAATATTAGTCTCACTTTTCTTTTTTTTTTAATTTAATTTAATTTTATTTTTTAACATGTTTTTTATTTTTAAATTGTGGGGTACAGTTAAGGGTTAGGTATACAAATATGCATCGTTCAGGCACCCTTGTTGATAAGGGGTGTCTCCCCATCCCCAGACAGATATTGACTACCATTAATCCCACCTCCCTTTCCACAGAGGCTGTACTAGTTTACACTCCCACCAATAGTGTAGCAGTGTTCCCTTTCAACCACATCCTCTCCAGCATCTGTTATTTTTTGAGTTACTGATAATTGCCGTTCTGACTGCAGTTAAGTGGTATCTCAGTTTAGTTTTAATTTGCAGCTCTAGTTTCACTTTTCGTTTCTTTGTGTTTTTTTGGTTTTTTTTTTTTGAGTTGGAGTCTCACTCTGTCACCCAGACTGGAGTGCAGTGGCCGCTCCCGGCCACCGCAGCCTCGACCTGCTGGGCTCCGGTGATCCTTCCACCTCAGCCTTCCAAGTAGCCGGAATTACAGGCATGCGCTACGACGCCCGGCTGCTTTTTTGATTTATTGTAGAGATGAGGTCTCGCTGCCCAGGCGGGTCTCGAACCCGCGGGCTCAGGCAATCCACTCACCTCAGCCTCCCAAAGGCGCGGGATTACAGGCTGAGCCACCGAGCCCGGCTATTTTCACTTTTCAATTAGCTGAGGAATTTTTTTAAAAACTATTCTTTTTTGTTTACCAACTTTTTGTTTAAAAATTATTTTAAAACTCCCGGACAGAGTGAGACTCCAACTCAAAAAAAAAACAACAAAAAAAAACTCCCAGCAAGTTGACACTGGGGTGGCTGTGAGCATGCCACTGCACTCCAGACTAGGCGATGGAGTGGGCCTCCAACTCAAAAAAAAAAAAATTAAAGTAAAACATAGAAAAGTTTTAGTATCTTTGTAAGTAGACAGTATGTTATATAATATGTTATATAATTGAATAAAGATATTGTCAAATTCTGAAAATTTTTTACAGAAAGGGTTGATGATAAGACCCTTAACTCTGGAACAAAGGCTGGGAAATTTCTCTCTCTCCTTTAATCCAGATATTTGATATAAGTTTATTTTCATATGCCCTGCCATTTTCCTTTAAATTGAACAAAAATAATATTTTGGTTTTATGATGCTTGTTTCTTCAAAAATATTCTTGTTTACCAAGGTTAGAGCAAATTTGTCTATAGTCTTTCTCTTCTTCTCTCCTCCAAACAATAGTATCGTTTATAATAATAAAAGATTGAGAGTGTATATCAGATTACACAGACTTCAGCAAGCCACTCTTATTTTAGACACTTGAACATGAATCCCACTAACTGGATATGAAGGCATTTGTGAGGATGAAGATAATATGATCACTGATTGTTGGGAAGAAGTTAGAAAGAAATAGCCGTGGGATTGTTCAGGCTATAATGGCTGATATTCCTAGAGAGAATCTCTGTGTTCATATTTTTACCACCAAATCTAGAGGAGGGAAACAAGACAGAGAAACAGAAAGTATGCCATCATACAATCAAATACAAAGATAATGAAGATAAAGGAAGCAGCATGTCTTAAACTAGACAGGAGAATGGAAAAACAGAGACAAGCAGATGCAGTTGGAGAATTGCAAAACTATTTAAATTACTAGAGTGTGATTTAATCCTTCAGAGAGACATGGGAAGGGATGATATGAAGAGCAATAAAGATGCAACAGGGACTGAAATGTGAAGCCTGAAATCAGAGTTAAAGTCAAAAGAGAAATTGGGAGGGTGATTAATACTTTTACTTTCATACTTCCAAGTTGAAGACAAGAGTGATACATCTAGGCTAATTTTCTGAAAAGAGATGATTGTCAATAAACGAGAAGAAAGAATAAAAAGGCAGAGGTGGCCCTGACCCTTTACAACAAAAACAGCAACACTTCCGGGCACCTGTGTTTAATTTGAAGGTCTCCATCCCTACTGCATTATGAGACCTAATGAGGTCATGGCAGGAGGTGATATGACTGAACTTTTTGTGACTGGGTTTATACACATTTCTGTTTTATCCCCTAATCTTAGTGATGAAATCACTGTCGCAAATTGAATCAGAGTTTCACTATGGCTGGCATGCAAGTTATTATTCTCAGTACACATTTGCCTCCTTACCAAAAATGGTCCTGACAACTTGGGATCATGTTCATCTGTGGAAAACAGAAAGGAAAGGATATGGAAATCACTTTAATTCTCCTTTGGAAAATAACCTGGAAAAAATTTGGTGTCAGGTTTTTAAAATTCAAAATAAATTATCATTCTTTAAATGAATTTTAGATTGAAAATCTGTAGATTTTGACAAAATATGTTTTGTTTTAAAAACTGGTTAACCATGAAATTTATAAATGCCAGTTTTCCTCTCTAGATAAAGATAATACAAACCATAATAAACAAAGGCCAGTGTGACTTACTTGGTGCAATGCAGGCTCAAATTTAGGACACTAGTCCTGTGACTTTACTAAGGCATTGTCTTCCATATACAAAACTGACATGGGAGCTTTGCCATGCTCATGGAAATAGTAAGAAATTTGTTTTTAAGCTTTTCATATTCTTCTTTCTGGGTAGTCTCCAAACCAAAAGCATTAAAATATCAATTGAGGATAACTGTATGATTTATAACTATGGATTGAAGAAAATGGCTTGTGACCTAGATCATACAATTCAGCAATGTTAAAATGAAATTTGGTTAAAATGAAATTTGGTTAAAATTGATGGGGGAATCTGTTGTGGTGCTCTTTTCATGCTCTTTTCATGATTTTGGAGAACTGTTTTCCTAACACTGCATCTTACTTTCTTCTATAAAACAAAGCACAATACTTTGAATATAGTAGGCATTCAGCAAATATTTCTTAAATTAAATACAGTAATGTATACCTCTTGAGCTAGCTTCTGCACATAGTTTATGGAACAAAGCTGAGAGAAGTCTAGGAGCAGACCTAGTTTGAGGAATGGCTGGAGTCAAGGACTCAAACACCATTGGGACTTTTTAGCTCTTCTACATTCTTCCAAATAACCTAATTCCCCTTGGCAGGGAACATGGCCAGTGCAGTTCTAGACTCATCTCGTCATATACTTTGTGACCAGAAAGGAGAGCGTGCCTTTTACTCTAGTCAAGCTATAATAATTCTAAAGCAGAATTCTCACTGGCCTGATTTGGATTGTGATTCACATTCGTTGGACTAATTAATGTGTCAAGAAGAGTGAGTCCTGCAGAAGTATTTTTTTAAAAACCTTAAATTATATATATGAACGTTTATTACTTTAGGCTAGAGGTAAGTTATACCTACAAGTGTTCATTTTTCTAAGACATTTAAATTTCTACCCATACTAGCTATGCTGAAGCTATTTTTAGGAGCCAGGAGGTCAAAACAAGAAATCTTCATGTTTTCATACAGCTAGCTCAGAGTTCTGCTTTTGCTGAAGCTCTTTTAAGACTCCCATGTTCTCAGGATGTACCTCGGCCTTCTCTATCCAGGGCATTAAGGTTCTATCTTCATAAAAGTTGATTTCTGAAAATTGGAAGACAAATCCCCAGCTCCTTTAGGGTGGTTTCAGCATCAAATCCTTAATTATAGGAGAACTGCCTCCATGTAATAATAATAAAAATAGCTACTGTTACTTGTTTGTTATATGCCAGACTCTTGTTAGAAGCATTCAGTGGGACGCTGAATCCGGCTAGTACTGGTTCATGAGACATTATTATTATTATTTTAAGAGACAGGGTGTCACTTTGCGCCCCGGGCTGGAGTACAGTGGTACAAGCATAGCTTACTGCAGCCTTGAACTCCCATGCTCAAAGGATCCTCCCACCTCAGCCTTTTAAGGAGCTGGGAGTGCAGGCCATGCCACCATGTCCAGCTAACTTTTTTGTTTTTAATTTTTGTAGAAATAGGATTTCTCTTTGTTGCCAAGACTGGTCTCAAACGTCTGGCATCAAGGGATCCTCTTACTTAAGCCTCCCAGAGTGTTGGGATTCTAGATGTGAACCACTGTACCTGACCAGAGATCTTATTATTAGCATATCTTCTCTTGTCTATGCTTATTATGTCAAATTGGTAGCTTGAAATTGGTCAGAGTGAGGTTTTTACACTACGAAAATTGTTAAATGCCACAAATCAGAACTCCCTCTCTCCTATGGGGACCCAGTTGTTAGATATTTACCAGATACCCTGGGAGCTTTATATATATATGACCTTATTGAATTCTCATGACACTCTTGTGAGATCAACAATTTTAGAATCTAACAAAAAAGGAAGAAAAAAATCAAAGGGAAAAGAACACATAGTGCACTACTTGTTTGCACCCGGGTTCTGCCTGCTCCAAAGCCCACGTACTACACTTGAGAAGGCAAATGACAGAATGGTCTTTACCTTAGCTACTCTTCCATTGGCCATTCATCCTATCAGCCAACATCAAAATGGCAGTTTTTCCAGGATTTAGTTCATCACTGAAAGTACCTTCACTTAGCTGAAAACCTCTGGAGGCATTGAAGAAATGCTTTTCTGTGCTTCTTCCACTTCTTGCCTCAGGTGGTTCATTGGGGATTGGTCGGAGTGCAGCAAGACTTGTGATGGAGGAATGCGCACAAGGGCAGTACTCTGCATCAGGAAGATTGGACCTTCTGAGGAGGAGACCCTGGACTACAGTGGTTGTTTAACACACCGGCCTGTTGAAAAAGAGCCCTGTAACAACCAGTCATGTCCACCCCAGTGGGTGGCTTTGGACTGGTCCGAGGTAAGGAAATCTGCATGTTTTGAAATGTCTTACCCATCAAACCATAGCATTGTTCTTAAGGACACCTGAGCATGTGAACATCTTTGAACTCAACAAGTAAGGGCTGTGTAATAGTTAACTTGGCCATGTTACATTTTATTGCTGCTTATCAGGAAATAAGGGTTTCTTGGTTCAGGAAAATAAATGAGAAACTAGTCATCAATTTGAAAATAAATCTAAAGTGAATTTGAAATGACATTAGAGTACTCACATAAATGGTTTTAGACCTTGAATGACCTTTTCTAGGATCTCATCTGGAAGGCACAAATTTTTTTTTTTCTTTTTTGAGTTGGAGTCTCACTCTGTTGCCCAGACTGGAGTGCAGTGACACGCTCTCGGCCACCGCAGCCTCGACCTGCTGGGTTCCAGCGATCCTTCTATCCTGGCCTTCCAAGTAGCTGGAACTACAGGCACGCGCTACCATGCCCGGCTAATTTTTTGATTTATTGTAGAGATGAGGTCTCACCAAGTTCCCCGGGCGGGTCTCAAACCTGCGGGCTCAGGCCATCCACTCACCTCAGCCTCCCAAAGCTTGGGATTATAGGCTGAGCCACCGAGCCTGGCTGGCACAAATTTTTTATATCTTTTTTTTCCAAGTCATGTAGCTACCTAATTACTTAAATCTTAGATATGAATCTTTATCAATTCATTACCTCTTGTGATATATCTGTATCTATATATTTTAATTGCTTCTGTTGCATCTGTGGAAGAAACATGGAGTTGAGGGTTATAGCATAGCAAAAAGTTTAATTCAGAATTGACCATTACCTTTACTTACATGGTCAGTGAGGAAGAGCTGACTAAAATAATGGTTTTATGGCATACATGTGTGCAAAATAGTCTAATATAATCCAAAGGCACTCAAAAAAATTATTTCATGAAAAACTAGGTAATTGATTTTTGACTCCTCAGTATACATAAGACATATACATGTACATGCTATATCCTTGCCTACATTTCCCAGAGAAGACCTGAATCCTTCTGTAGAATGAGTACCTGACTATATAACTAGAGATAATTCTTTCAAGGGTGCATTTCAGACTCTATTCTAATGTATCCTGCCAGGAACATTATGTTACCTGCTTTGGGTTTTTCTTGTAGCCCTCATAAGTCTATCAACAAAACAAACAAGAAAATAAACAGTGTCCTTTAGGAACCTCTAGATGTAACTATTCCCCTGTGAATATTACTGCTTGCATGGCCTTATTTTACTAGAAGCACAGGACTAAAAGAGAGACTGTGTCTAAGATGGTACATGAAAGTGGAGTTTCTGACCAGTTGTGGTTATCCATGGAACCCGTGGCAGGAATTGGGAATGTTCTCCTGTTTCCTGACTGTACTCCAGCTTCAGTAATTACATTCTGCCTACCTAACCTTTATTTATAGTTTCAATCAGACGTAGCAATATTCTTGGCATTATTTAGTCAATGGTTATAGAAAACAGTATGGACTCTTCTATTCCCTAGCAGGGGATGCATTAACTCCTGTATTCATTTGAAAGATGAAATCCATTGATAAAGAATAAACATTCTGCAGAGTTGCACACATTAGTGCCCAGAAACCTTATAGAAATCCATAAATGTTAATTGATAATGAGAAATTTGTTATTGGAAAATCATAATGGGAGACCTGATGACTGGCTACAACAGTTTTTTGGGTTTTAGGTCAAGTCAGTAAATTTAATTGAGTGCTTACTAAACACACCAGGATTGGCTGATGCCTGAAGGAGGCTGATGGAGACTCCAATATACTGATAAAATAAAAACATCCATGAAACAACTTGAGAATAATACATATAAGACAGAGTGTAATAATACAGTGCATTGTGAGGTAGAAACAGATAACTATTATAGAAACACAAAGCTGAGGAGATCAGAGTAACCTGGAGTAGAATTTAAAAACTTTTTAGTTGATGGGAGTTGAACTGAATGTTGAAGGGCTTAGAATTTGAAGAAGGAAATAGAACTGGGAAGCTAGAGAAGGTATGCCTGAAAGAGAAGCAACTGAACAGAAACACAAAGATTGCATGATGAAAGCAGTGTGGGAGGAAGGCATTTGTTTTCAAGAATAAATGAAAGATTGAATAAAGTAGTGATAGGTTTATTCACTACTAGGAAGGCTTGAGTGCAGAACTCTATACCATATCATCCTTTATAAGCAGAAACTACAAGAAAATTACATTGATCTCCTGACTTACACTTTTCTGTATCATTATATATATATATTTTTTTTTTTTTTTAATAAAACAACCAAATATAAACACCTTGAGAAACAGCTTATGCATATTACTGGTGTGCTTCCATTCCAAATGCCATTTTAAGTTTTTCTTCTGAGTTCAACTTCACATGGGTTGTACTTACCCTGCTCTTAGAATTTTTTTTTTTAAGATGTGGGGAACAATTCAAGGTTAGGTATACAAACATTGATTATGCAGGTACCCTTGTTGATGAGGT